TAGATCCTTTACCAACAATTGCTGATGTATTCAGAAGGAGAGAAAGAGAGAGAGAGAGAGTTTGCCATATTTTTCTTTAATACCTTATTGTGTAACAGAAGTGAAAAGTAGTCTTTTAACATGTTTCTTTTGATAACACAACATAACATAACATAAAACAAGGTAAACTGATGGGGCATGGAGGCATGGAAGGCCTCTATCGCTATTGTAACACTTGATTTTTCTGATAATAACTACAAATTTGATCATTTCAGTGCCTCGCGGTGTCAGAAATGCTCCATGTCTCCCAGGTTCCTACTGTTCCTCCTCTGGTCTGTTCTGTAACTATGGATTGTGTGTCTGTAGACCAGGATTCTATCCAGACAGGACAACCTGCAGTGAGTGGAGTGAATGAGTTGACATTTAGTTGTTTTAATTGTAACAAACTAGTAGGTTTGAATTCTTTAAGAAAAGATTCAGTTTGGTTATCAGATTTAGCAAGAAGACAAAGCAAAATGCAAGGAGACAGATACATTTTGTTACAGTAGTTCATCAATTATGATAAGCTCTGTGACCTTTGGTATTGTTGCAGTAATAGCATTCATTCAAAATAATTATAAATTACAATGACAATTCAATCATTTGCTTTTGTCAGTAGTCACCTGGTAAACCTATTATAAAAACAGGCCCTGTTGACCTAGGATCTTAATATATGATTATGCTCTACTTGAAAATATCCTGTATACTGAAAAATAGTGTAATTATTCAAGGTGGGTGATAATCTTAAAATTAAGAGTATAAATGGTATTATTACAGAGGACAAGAAGCCCTTGGACTTTGACTGTGAAGCAGACGACCATTGCTCTGATATGAACGCCATCTGCAGGAACAGGAAGTGTGTTTGTAAGGAGGCATTCACTGAGGTCAACAAAGTCTGTGGTATGTCAGATTGTTTTCATTTTAATTAAAGGAAAATAGCCCATAGTTTATTAATTTTGATTAAAACTGATATGAAAAAGATTTGAAATAGACACTCCTTGAGAAAAAATGGTAGTAATTAAGTGATTTAACTCTAACAGAAGTGACAATTTATATTGCCAAAAATATCTTGTTATTGATGAAAATGTTTTGGAAGTTTCAAAAAAGGAAATGAGATTCATTGGTGAAAGTTGCTGAGAGAAAGGATTTAGTTTTTAACAAAATATAATTTTGGAATAAACTAGGTTCTTAAAATTTGTGTATATTATATGATTACAAACCACCAATTCAAATTCAAGCAATTGAACTAGATTTAGCATGTAGGCTTTTAAGTTCAAGATTAGGGAAAACTGTTGTCTATTTATTTTGTTTTCATCTTCATTTCTATTTCTAAAATTGATATTACAATTAATTTGACAATGTAACTATTTGTATATGCCTGGCATGGCTAGGGCTATTATCAAAGTCAGTTTTCATATGAATTAATTGGTCTGTGTATATTGCAGTGTTGCCTGGTGCCCCAGGGGAGCTGTTCAGAGCCTGTGTTGATGGAGTGGCTTGTTCTAACATCAACACCATGCAGTGTACTCCCTCAGGGGTCTGTGTGTGTAGGAATGGATACTATGCTGATGGCACTCAGTGTGGTAAGTAGACACAGTTCCTGTCTAGTTTGGAGTATGTGTGTGTAGACAGGGATATTATGATTCTGATGGCACTCAATGTGGTAAGTACTTCGTCACAGTTATGGCTTTTTTTAAACATGAATTAATGCTGAAAGGCTATTGTGGTATTTCAAACACCAAACACAAAAGCAACTGGTCTTGAAAAATTAAGAATTATGTAAATGTGTGATATTGACATCACAAAAAAGTCAATGATTACTTAACTTAATGCACTTGGTGTGTATGTTTTTCTGACAGTTTATTCCCTTCCCTATCCACCAGTAAGTATTGTACCATTTGTCTTACATCTCCAGTTGCCAAGAAGCGTTTGCAGGGACGTTGTGCATCTGATGTAGAATGTGACGCTGCCAACTCTCACTGTGTCTCAGGTCGCTGCCAGTGTCAACCCCAGACACATGGGTTTGGGGTGTTTTGTAGTAAGTAGTCTTTTGATTTTCTTTAGAGAAAAAATTGGAAAAAATATCATTAAAAATTTAATATGTGTCTTGATATATTTAAAGGTTGAGTTTAATGCGAATGAAACATATGGTTGAAAAGTAAAATAAGAATCCACCATTATGGCAATCAGAAAGTTTTAAATGTATTTTTTAGGTGTGAAAGGTGGGCTGTTTTCCCCCTGTCTGGATGGAGGCTCCTGTACGGAGGGGTCTCTGCTCTGTCAAGATGGTCTCTGTCTTTGCCACCCAGACTACTACCCTAAGAATGGGAGATGCAGTAAGGAAACAGCACAGATTTTATTTTACTCATTAGTTTGTGATATTTTTCACATTGTATGTTCTGCCACTGTAGCAATGGATTAACAAAAAGCTCCATAAAACATTTAACTAGTTTAACTTTGATATGCTGTCAGGAACATTGATATGAAGGTGATGCTTGTGTTACAATAAGTGTTGATTAAATTTTTCAAAATGTTTTACAGATTTCTAAGTTTGGAAGAATCAGTGAGGTATTACTTAATTTCTTATTATTATAGTCTTTTTTGAATTGGTCTTATTTCATATTTCAGTTCCCAAGCATCCCACTATGGCTGCTTGTCACTCCACCAATAGTGACGTCTGCCAGGACCAAAACGCCTTCTGCAATGGAATATGGTGCCAGTGTAAGGAAGGTCACTACCTGAAAGAAAGGAAATGTGGTAAGAAATTGATGAATTTTGTTGATAATTTCAATTTAGCTGATTTGTCTGTGGTACTGAAAAAATTTCAAAATGATTTTTTTTCATGGGACAAAAAGGTATAATTTTTTCAATGAATTTTGATATAAATCTAAAAACTTGCTTTAAGTATTCTGTAAGTGAAAAAGGAAAATTGATATAAATCTAAAACCTTCTTGTTTTCAATGTTCTTATAGTGAAAAAGGTGTCACTAGGCATGAAGTGTGACAGTGGAGATGCTTGTGATAATTTCAATGCAGAATGCATATCTAAGAAGTGCCAGTGTAGACAGGGCTTCCAACAAAATGGGGACGTGTGTGGTAAGTGATAAATGTATTGTTGACTTTTATTAGTTCAATATATTAAATGTATTTGGTGATTTTTTTTCATTTAACAATGATATTCATTTAGAGTATAAAATCCAAATAAGTCCAGGAAGTTATAGAAAATGGGTAGAAATTTAATATATGTAAATTTGAAAGTTCTTTCATTGCTTATAAAACACATTAAAATGCATGTGAGCCATTAAAATTTTCTGAATAGATTTGCCTTCAGTTCCATCTTAAAAGTCTTAAGGATAAAACTTAAAATTGTAATAAAAGAGGAAATGCATTCATTGCTGCCCCCTTAACAAATTGTCCCTTATGTAACAAGATATCAGGTGTTTTGCTGATATAGTAAGTCTGTGTAATTTCCTGTCATTTATTTCTGTGTATAGAACCTCTAGGAGCTGTGGGCAGTTTATTTGGCAGTTGTACCAGTGATTTCAGTGTGGCCCAGTCCTGCTCTGCTCCTAACTCTGTGTGTCTACAGGGCACCTGTGTGTGCAGGGAAAACTACTACTACTCTAATGGACTCTGTGGTAGGATATTACCAATGCATTTTTATAGCATATTTGAACATCTTTTGAAAATACATGGGTAAAGTAAAAACCAAATATAAGCAGATTTATAACCAGAATGATAATGTAAATTGTAATAAATATCATTATCTCTTTTTGATTCTGCTACTCTAGCTGTTACAGTTTATTACCATGTTATGTACAGTTTTTAGCTGAAATTTCATGTAAATTATAATTAAAATTCAAAATAGTATATCTGAAATCATAATTTCACCATCCCCCACTCCTAGCTGCCAAGGTTCCCCTGCGAGGCACCTGTGGGGACCATAATGCCTGCCTGGACCCCAATGCTGTGTGTAGGAACAGAATCTGTACATGTCAGCTGGGATACAGACCTGAACAGGGCATTTGTGGTAGGAAATCTCGCTTTTTCTTTGGTTTTTGTCTCAATGGTTTATGTACCTAAAATGGTTCTAAGAAATTTTTAAGGATTTTTAAATGATGTCATAGTTCTGTGAAATTCAATGTCTCTTTAAATTATACTATAATTATAAATTATAATACAATAATTTATGTTGCATAAACACTGCATATGATGTATCACCTTAGCTGCAGGTGATATGAAATTTGATCATTGTGTGAATTTATTTATTTATTTATTTATTTATTTATTTTTTATTTTTATTTTTTTATATGTACAGTTTAAGTTTAGAACTTCAGGTTTCAAAAATATTATTAAGTATGTAATAATAATGTTTCTGTAGGTCCACAAAAAAGCCCAGTTATACTAAAATTTCCCACTCTCATTATAGTCCCTATAGGTCTGGTTGGAGACTCCTGCCTGTTTGAACACCAGTGTGTAGACTTGAACTCTCTGTGTGGTAATGGAGTGTGTATTTGTCAGTCAACTCACTACCTCCTGGAAAATGTATGTGGTAAGTCAAATCTTCCATTTCTATACACTTATATTGATAGCAGTATTAACCTTTTCATAGGTAATTGGAGAATATAATATAATATAATATCAGATTCACAATTGAGAGAGGTCTCACATAAAACTATTTCCTGTCGTTATTTAACTCTGAAAAAAAAAAGGCATATGCATTAGGAAAGTAAAGTGTATTTATTGTTTAGCTATATTTTACATTCTTTTCAATGTAATTCTTGGCAAGGTATAGTTAAAACATTTATTTTTTCATGACAGTATTCTTTAGCAGAACTAACCCCTGTTTTTTGTATTAGTTCCAAAGCTAGAGCTTAAAACTACCTGCACCCCTGCAGACCAATGTGCAGACCCCAATGCAGATTGCCAAAGAGGAGAATGCAGCTGTCTGATTGGATATGTGCAACAAGCTCAGAGATGTGGTAGGTTTTATTATAATAAGCACTGCACATTTCACAAAGGGCACTCAGATTATTAAAGATTAATTATAAATAAAATTGGGCACAGTTGAAATAAGATGGTATAATAATCAAATTGCTGTGATGTTTCGCCTCCCATTCAGTCTAATTTACATGATCTCAAGCAATATTGTTTTTCTATTGAAAAAAGGTTTAGAAAAAATTATTTTCCACCCACAGCTCGCCTTGTGCCTGTGAACTCTGCTTGTACCTTGGATGACATCTGTGAATCTGAGTTTGCTGCCTGTCAGCAGGGAGTGTGTAAATGCAGGACAGGATTTGCTCTCAATGGGAATAAGTGTGGTACGATGAATGCACACTGGGGAAAATTTGATTAACTTGAGGACAGTGCATTAAACTTCATTATGTAAAATTGTGGTACATTTAACAACTACTACTACAATTATTATTATTATTATTATTATTATTATTATTATTATTATTATAGTTTACATTTATGTTTTTGAAATATTGTCACCACTGGAATTTTAATCATGTGAATTCAAACCCTTTTGCAGTATGGGGCAAAGAATGAATGTTGTTTTCATCAATTTATTAAATAGTGTTGATATTCTTAAAATGATAGTTTTTAATTTAATACTCAATGTTGCACTGAGAAGACATTAATTCTGTATAAGTAACCATATCTGTATCACAGAGCCTGAGAGCACATCTGGTAATGAAGGAGAGCTGCTGGGACCATGTCTACGTAATGGCGGCTGTACGCCAGAACACACCGTCTGCTCCGAGGCGAAACAGTGTGTGTGCACGCCAGGATACTTCCAGAAGGAGGGGCAGTGTGGTAAGAGAGAACAAGATGACCTTTTTTTTGATACACTAAAAATCTTAAAATAATTCAAAGCAGATTGTTAAGTACTTACATTTTTCCTATCACTTAATGTTATTATATAAGAAACTGCACATTTCTCTTTTTCTTTCATCTGTTTGTAGTTCCTAAGATCCCGCTGTATGTCAGGTGTGATTTCCGTGATGTGTGTGCAGACGACAATGCTGTCTGCTCTGAAGGAGTGTGTCTGTGTAAACCTGACAGCTTTGATAATGGAGGATACTGCTGTAAGTAAACCATTGATAGAATTATTCAATTGTTGAAGGTTTAAATTTCAAATACTTGGATTTAAAGATGTGCAAAGATGTGATTTTATGGAACTTTCTGCTCTCTTTATTTATCTCTCTGTTCTTAGGAGCCAGTCTTCCATTTGTCAATTTTTTTTGGTTGACTGATCTGATGAACCATTATCCTTAATCTTCAATGTATTTAGAGCAATTTTGCTACATTTTATATGTTTAACATATTAGATGTATATTTGTTTTGCTCCATATTATATGTTGTCATAAATGTCTGTGATATTCTAGTGCCCAAGCTCCCCCTGGGTGCCAGGTGTCCGTATGACTCCGCCTGCGGCACAGAGAATGCTGAGTGTGCCAACAGTCAGTGCAGCTGTAGCAAGGAGTACTTTGAGAAGGGAGGACTATGTGGTAAGTTTATGTCCTAACAATTTCTGATACTTCTGATGATCTTACAACTGTAGTAAATAAAAATTTAAGTAGGGAAGACAATTTTAAAGTATTATTTGATGTTAAAATTATATGATATTGCCTTTTGCCATAAAACTGGAAGTGACTAAATTTAAATGTGCTGCGCTGCACATACATTGTAAAAACTTCTAATGTCATATCTGACCATGTCCTTAGCAAGATTGATGTCTGGTTTCAGTTAAGAAGATAGATGCAGGGAATCCTTGTGGACAGGAAGATATCTGTGTAGACCAAGCCTCCTGTCTAAATGGGCAGTGTACTTGTATAAGAGATCACTTCCCTCTCAATGGGATGTGTGGTAAGTTGATGACTAATGTGAAGAAATATATATAGAAATATGAAGTGAAGTTTTAACTGCAGTGAAGATTGTAGATAGTAATTTTAGTTGGTTATGGATAATTTATACTGTAGAAATATTTATACTTTTACCGAATCACCTTTACAGTATATTTGTTTACACCAAAGCTTTTATGTGCATATACAGAAATAATGTATGAGATATTGAGGTTTTGCATTTCAATATAAAACAAGCTGTAAACACAATTTACACACTTCATTTTTAAATGAAGTTAATTCCATACCTCAACAAGACATTTGACTTCTTTTATAAGTTTTAATTATCTGCTATTTTTGCTGTCATCAGAACACGTGGGCAGCCTGTTTTCTCCCTGTCAGCTGGACTCTGACTGTGCAGAGAACAACACTGCTTGTAATGCTGCAGGGATCTGTGAATGTTCTCTAGGATTTTATCCCTCTAATAGGCAATGCTGTAAGTATACATATACATGTGTAAATCTTGTATTCTTCATGAGTGGCATAGGTATTAAAATAACTCTTTTTCATCCCTTTTTGTATTTTTCAGACTCAATGGTTTTAAACACTGTAAATTGAGAAATCTAAAATTTCCTTTAAAAATTGAATGACCCTATACCATTTTAATCACAGAATAGCCCTATATATATTTGATAACCATATAACTGATAACTATGTCTCCTCTCCAGTGGAGCAGATTCAGCCTGGTGACCAGTGCAGCACAGACTCAGAGTGTGTGAATGACGCCTCATGTATTGGAGGACTCTGCGTCTGCACTGGAAACCTTATCCCAGCAGACGGACACTGTGGTAAGAACTTTTAAATGTGAATATGAACAACCAATGTTGAGAGATTGTGGATTATTAGGAATCATTTGGTGTTTGGTTGTCAGTTTTGGTTTTTTTATGCCTTACAAAGTTAAAGAAAATATAATATGATTATTACATTTTTTGTCAAGCCTGCATTATTATAGCCTTGTTTTCCTTATTTTAACTGAAAACTTATGCACAACAGCTTGTAAACAAAAGATGAAATTTTGTCTTTACATTTGCCTGCTGCTGTAATTGAATAAAGAAGCCGACTTCTGTGTAATTTTAGTGCGTCCAGGCAGCCTTCATGTGGCGTGTGGTCCAGGTGGCACGTGTCTTACCAGGAATGCGGAGTGTCAAGGGGATGGAGTGTGTCGCTGTCCGGCTGATTACTTTGAAAAGAATGGAGGATGTGGTCAGTGGCAGAGACAGATTTCAGAAAAATTTGTTGTACATGTATTGGAAATAAATTATTTAAAGTTTAACATTTAAATAGTATGCTCTTTGTAAATCAGAAAGCAGAATCTTTCCATGCTGCATTGAATAAAATTGTTATCATACCAATTCCAGTTCTCAAGCAGATGGCAGGATCAAGTTGTACAGATGAGGACGTATGCATAGATGGCGCTCTGTGTACTAATGGCATCTGTATGTGCAGGACTGAACTCAGTTATGTCAACATTAATGGCCGATGTGGTAAGTTGTGTGGTAAATTTTTCAGTCAGAATGTATTTGAAAGATAATTAAATTCAGTTAAATTTATTATATTCTTGAGCTTAGGTTACACATCACTTTTAAATGTATTAAAAGGCAGACCATTATGTACCAATTCGCTATATTCAACTGTATCTATTACAGTTCATTTTTAATTGTTCTATGATAAATCACTTCCTTTATATAATGATATGGTGATGCTACTTCCAAATATTTCTAATGTTTTCTATTTTCATTGTAAATTCTAGTCCAGCGAGGTAATCTTGGAGCCCCATGTCTGCCCAACCAGGCCTGCACAGTGCCCAACTCTCAGTGTAATGACCAGAATATCTGTCAGTGTCAGACTGGCTTCCACAGGAAGGGGAACACATGTGGTGAGTGGCTGCATGGTGGGCAATATCTTCACTGTACATTTGGTGATAAAAGATGTATGAAATATTCTGTTATATAGTAAAGATTTATTTTCACTTGTTTTTAATTGTGAACAATACACATATTAAGCATAATGAAATTTTACATAGATCAGACCAGAAAGACATGCCTGATGGGGTGGTTTTTATACACTTACATGTTGACTGCATTATGATGCTAAAAATTATGATATTATGTATATTCTTATTCATATAGACCAAAAATTGCCAGCTGAAGACATCTGTCTGGTTGGGGTAGACATATGCACTGACCATGCTGATTGCATTGCTGGCAAGTGCTACTGCAGAGACGGATATGAAAGCAAGAATGGGCAGTGTGGTAAGTAGTGCAGATATTTGAACATGAATACGTATACAGTGTATATCATTAACCTGCTCTACCTGGTTCATAGTTGGTAGCTATGCTGGAACTTTCCAGTTTGCTATTTTATTTAAAGTAACTAAATATACAGTGGTACTGTATTACAGTAAAGCTGGGGACCCTGGATGCCCAGTGTCTTCCCAATGGAGCCTGTACTGTGGCCAACACAATCTGCAACCTGAACAACTTCTGTATCTGCAAGGCTGAGTTCTATGGTAGAAATGGAGTCTGTGGTAAGTGGTGTTGGTTTTTTAAGTATTAAGAAATTTATTTCTCTGTCTTCATTTAGAAAAGAATCGATAAAATCAAATATGGCATTCATCTTATTCTTCCTATGTATCAATGTAACATATTTTGTGACTATATCTCAAAAAAATATCATGAAAAATTCTGCCTCTTCTTTTATTGCCAGTTTAGATCAAGATGGATGGTGCTGAGAACAACTGATATCTCTTTTTCATTGGATATGAAAAATATAATGAAAGAAAAAATACACTGGAATAGCATTTTAGTAATAAATATTTCTTACTGTATTTATTTCAAATATTTTGAAGAAGAGAGAAAAGAAATCTGCAGATTTTAAGAAAATATTCTCAATTTCAGTTCCAAAGATCCGTGCTGGTGATGTGTGTGGTGGACAGCAGCAGTGTGTTCAGAATGCCGTCTGCAGTGCTGGCAGATGTGTCTGTGTCACAGGACATGAAAATATCAACGGTCACTGCAGTACGTTTCCATGCTTTTTGGAACTTGTCAGCCAGTATTTGTTAGTTTTTACTTATAGTATGGTTGAAAATAAAAAGGGAAACCATTTAAATTTATGAATGCTCAGAAAGTTGATAACAAAAATTTAAAAATGTACCTGATAAATATTTCATATTTATATTCATTGCAGGGCCGTAGCCTGAGCAAAATGCCAGGGGGGGCAGTAAGCGGACACGAGGGTGCGAAGCCCTCGAGGGAGGAGGGGGTGTCCCCCTACCAGTGTGCCCCCCCTGCCCCCCCTGCCGCCCCGGAGGCTACGGCCCTGCATTGACATTTTGGACATCATTTGAGCATCTCTGTTTGCTAAAAGATTACATAATACTTGTATGTTCCATGTATGTTCTTAAAGATGGTTATATTATCATGTTATAGCTCGCCGTGGTGCTCCGTCTGCCCCCTGTCTGGCAGGCGCCATATGTGCTGTACCTAATGCAGAGTGCGCCATAGATACCAATAAGTGCCAATGTGTGGAGGGCTTCTATGACAAGGGAGGAACTTGTGGTAAGACTCCAAATATAGGCTTTTTGACAGTTTTTATGGAAAGATAATTATTTATGCAAAAAAATTCTTTTCAAGTTTTCAAGTCTCTTAAACTCTTAAACTTTTTCAGTGGCTTCAGGTGTGTGTTAATCTCTGTTTATCTTTTTTATCAAGTGCCCTATCTGAAGGTTAGTCAGCCCTGTAGTGCAACAGAAGACAGATGTGTAGAGAATGCTGTGTGTTCTACTAGAGGGTTTTGTGAGTGCAAGGAAGGCTACCTGGTAGACAGGGACAATCTGTGCAGTAAGTCGGATTAAGGATTTTGAAAAGAAAATGTCATTTGAATTTAATCATTTTCTGGGTATTTGTTAAAAGAGCAAATGAAATTTAAAAAAATTCTGTATCTTTAATTAAGGATGATAATTTAAAATAATCAATAAACCTAATTTTGCTATATGATATTTGGGTGTGTGTTTGGCCAGATGGAATATTGTTGTTGATGTAGTCTGATATGATTGTTTTTCTCTCTCAGATGCTGTTCAGCAAGGCACCCTGGGAGCCAGCTGTCTGCCAGATGGCACATGTCAGATTGAAAACACTTGGTGTGACCTTGACCTTAATGTATGCAAATGTCAGCCAGGATTCTATGCTAAACTTGGACAGTGTGGTAAGTGCACTTTGATGCAGTGGGATATTTGGTAATTTGGTAATTTTGATGATGAAATTGATTTAGCTGTTATAATATTCATGATGTGCATATGGTCTGAATTTTAGTCAATTTGTACATTATTTTTGGAAAGAAACAGTAAGTTCTGAAAATCATCCATCTTATATGTGTAACCAATTTTCAGTTGCAAGAACTGCCATTGGAGCTTTCTGTACTAAAGATGGAGAATGCATGGAAAATGCTCTGTGTACACAGGGGACCTGCAGATGTCTGGCTGACCATGTGCTGGTTAGAGGGTTTTGTAGTAAGTTAATCTTTTTTGTTATTTTTTAATCAAAACTATTATTTTAATTTATAATACAAGCCAGGATGTTACAAAATATGAAATGGAAAAAAGTGAACTTTAAATTCTGTAATTTTTCTAACATTCAGGTTGCTCCATTTCAAGAACCATCCTTGAAACAATTGGGGCATTTTGTTTGCATGGTAGCAAACGGATGCATATATCATTCATATTTAGACAGACATCTGTTGTCATATATTCAGTATAAAAAGGTAAATTTGTACTTACGCTGTGAATGGCAGGGCACCATTTGTGCCCAGTAATGAATGGCCATGTGTCACATATTATACCATATGTAATGTATCATGCACTCTATTTTCAGTCCTCCCTGGAATGGCCGGGGCTCCATGTTTGGCCAATAATGAATGTATCCCTAGGTTCTCCCAGTGTGTAGCTGGTATTTGTGACTGTCCCTATGGGGTGATTAGATGGAATGGCCATTGTGGTAAGTGGAGCCCATTATCACTATCATCTTGCTTGACATTGCTTTAGGTTCACTTGGTAACCAATTTCACGACAGATTTATAGGCTGTTGTGGTAAGTGGAAATTATAATCACTATCATCTGCTTGAAATTGCTGTCATAAGTATGAGGTAATTGGCAACATCAGAAAAGATTGAATGGGTTTTGTGGTAAGTGCAATCAGTAATGTCTGTCAAAAGAGAAATATCACTTCCATAAATTTTTTGGATGAGAAATTTTAGAAAAATTGTCAATGGGTAAGCAATTCCAAGGCTATGTCAGGCTGAAGGAGCTAAAAATGCAGGCTCTACTTATTATAAAATAATTTCCATTGTAAAAAAAAACAAAAAGATTGCAGTGAGTTTATTCACATGCTGTATGTTGTATACAGCATTGATTTGAGAGTCAAATTGATTATTTATTTATTCATTTAGTTAGTTAGTTATTTAGTGTTGTTTTGTTAATATTTTTATTCTCAGTCAATGGAATGTATTTCTGACCATTGTTTGTTTTTCCCCATTTCAGTAACCAATGGTTTTGCCCATGGAGCATGTGTTAGTGGCAGATGTGCTGCCCAATACACGCGTTGCCGTGACGACTCCTGTGTCTGCCAGTTTGGTTATGGTGCCACAGATGAAACTTGTGGTAGGTTAAAAGATACAGAGAACTTTGTTTATTAATTAACATGTTTAATTTGGATTGGATTAAATTGGAATTTTTGTATTAATTATTCCTAAGCTTCTTTTGAAGTTTAGAACCTGCCATTAAGAATTTTAATCTCAGTAATCTCCTAAGTAATCAGTATCTCCTAAGTAAAAGAAGTTAAAAGGCCCATTTTTGAATTGACTGGCACAAGACACACAACATAATCCATTTACGATAATTCAGAATAGATATAAGTATATCCAAATATAAGATATCCTGAGTGTTGTTTATGTGTGTGTGTTGCAGTGGGTGTCACACATGGGGTCCTGGGAGCATGGTGCCAGCAGCCCGGTGACGTCTGCTCTGGAAGCAATGTCACTTGTTATAATAGAATCTGCTCCTGTGATGGGACAACATATGCCAAAGATGGTCGCTGTGGTAAGAGATAATGTTGATATCGTGATTATGTTCATAAAGTATAGAGAACAATCTGAAATGTATCTTCAATTGTTTTTACTTGTGTCTAAAGTCATATCTCATTCATGTTTGAAATATGTCGATTTATAACTGTAAACTAGTATCATGGAGTAGATTTTTGGTAAAGAATGAACATTCAGGCAGTAACTTTTAAGAAGTAAAATGAAGACTTTTTTGCCTTTTTAAAATATTTTTTTTTTCTTTTTTTTAATTATCTCCTGTCATGCAGTGCCCCTTATTGCACTTGGAGCAGCCTGTTTCTTTGGCGATGAGTGTGTATCCAGTGGAATATGTACGAATGGAGTATGTACATGTCCAGATGGATTCAAGAATGGAGGAGGCGTTTGTGGTACATACTTTATTTTTTACAGTGAAATATTTTGATATTTTCTGAATTATTTTCTGAAAGACAGATTACTAAGGGATATATTTATTTTTATTGCCATCCTACAGCATCATACAATATTTCGACATCATTTAAATTGTATTAATTGAATGACATGTAAAAAGGTCTGCTTTTCATAAAAAGAACCCCCCCCCCCCTTTAAAATTGCTAGCTGAGTACCTTAGGTGTTGTCGTTTGAAGTGACAACTGTGCATAAATGCCTTCATTTTCCTCCTGTATCTAGAATATGAATGATGATGAGGCATTTTCCTCTTGTTACAGTGGTTGCAGAAGCAGCTCTGGCCTCTCAGAAATCATTCTGGGATGAATGGTGGTGTAAGTTGACTATTATTTTTATTATGTACAGACACAGATGTGTCTGTACATATAGCCATCATCTGCGTCTGTCGTCGCCGTCGCCGTTGGCGTGCACTTTAACCGTAAACACGATAAGTGGAAAACCGTTTTACCTTTTGGCTTGAAAGTTACAGAACTGATGAATATTCATAATACGCCGGTCAAGTTCGAAAATCAGCATGATCGGGTCATTTTTAGGGAAGTTATGCTTTTTTTTCACTTTTTTCAGCATATATGCAACACCGTAAACACGATAAGTGGAAAACCATTTTTTTTTTTTGGCTTGAAAGTTACAGAACTGATGAATATTCATAATACGCTGGTCAAGTTTGAAAATCAGCATGATCGGGTCATTTTTAGGGAAGTTATGCTTTTTTTTTCACTTTTTTCAGCATATATGCAACACCGTAAACACGATTAGTGGAAAACGGTTTTACCTTTTGGTTTGAAACTTACAGAACTGATGAATATTAATAATACGCAGGTCAAGTTCGAAAATCAGCATGATAGAGCCACTTTTATGGAAGTTATGCTGCTTTTTCATTCTTTTCAGCATATATGCAACACTGATAACAAAATATAAGAAAAACAGATAGGCCAATTGTCACTGTACTCACAGGAGTGGTCAATCTTACTAAAACATAGGTTGAGTATGAAAATCAGCATAATCGGGCCATTATTTTAGAAGTTATGCTTTTTTTTCACATTTCCTCAGATTCAATTCTTAGGCATGTTAATAGTCTCATTATTGAACTAATAAGATACATAAAAGTGTTTGTTTGACATTTCCTGCATCTTTACAACATTGTCAGTTGATTATTGTAAAAATGATGGTAAATTTGTTACGTGTATTGTGTAATGAAGTGTCAAAAATGGAAATAAACACATATCATTGCAGTTTGTCAGATTCAATCATCCACTATGTTCAGAATCTCAGAATGGAGGAAATTGGACATTTAACACTGTTCTATTGATAATTTTCCCATCTCATCAATTTTCTTAGTTGGTCATATAAAAATGGCAGTTAACAGTTAATTTTGTTTTATGTTAAAAA